GCCAATTGTGAAATTTCCCAATTTTCCTAATTTCCACATTTCCAATTTTCCCAATTTCCCATTTTCTCAATTTCCCACTTTTACAATTTAGCAATCTTCCAATTTGGACTCTTGCAATTCTGGAATTTACTAATATTCCAATTTTTCATTTTCCCATTTTCCCAATTTCCCATTTTCTCATTTTCCCAATTTTCCAATTTAGCAATCTTCCAACTCAGAATCTTGTAATTTTGGAATTTACCAATATTCCAATTTTTCATTTTCCCATTTTCCCAATTTCCCATTTTCTCACCTTCCCATTTTCTCAATTACCCATTTTCCCAATTTCCCATTTTCTCCATTTCCTAATTTTCCAATTTAGCAATCCTCCAACTTGGAATCTTGCAATTCTGGAATTTACCAATATTCCAAATTTTCATTTTCCCATTTTCTCAATTTTTCAATTTCCCAATTTTCGAATTTACCAATCTTTCAATTTGCAATCTTGCAATTCTGGAATTTACCAATATTCCAATTTTTCATTTTCCCTATTTCCCCAATTTTCCACTTTTCCCATTTTCTCATTTTCCTATTTCCTAATTTCCTAATTTCCTAATTTCCTAATTTCCTAATTTCCTAATTTCCTAATTTCCTAATTTCCTAATTTCCTAATTTCCAAATTTCTAGACTCTTAAATTCCAAAGAGAAAATTTTAAAGTTAAAAAACACAAAATTCTCAAAGTACAAACAGTATAACAAACTATAAAACACAATTCGTCACCAAATTTTATGGTTCATGCAATAATTGCGAGACTATAAAAATCTTGAAAATATTTGGAGTTCTCAAAGATATTCCGAAGATATTCTTCGTGGAGTGACAGAATTACAAATCGAAAGAACGGCTGAAATTAAAAATTGCGATCGAATGCATGTTTCATGGAATTTTCCATCCGTGGTGCTTCTCAAACGGAACGATTCGCATACATTTGTCTTCAAAGGAACGATTGAAATGAAATTTTCCTCCAGAGACATCTCTCGTTCGCGAAAAGTTTGCAGAGAATAGTCTCTAATTTAGTCTTAACGTATCTGCTGGAAGAATGAAGATAAGTAACGATCTTCCTTCCAATTTTTGTTGATTCGGGTGTACTTTGAGTATTATAGTATGCAGATATTATTATATATTCAAAAAGTATAGCAAACATACATATAATGTATAATACACCATGTACGGTATACAATTTGTATATGTACAATTTGCAATGTACAATATGTTATGCATGTATTATATATTGTATAAAATATGGTACATAATATATTATAGAACATACAATATGCAATACGTAATATATTTATAGTATACATTGTGTAATATACAATAATATACAATATAATATAATGTAATATACAATATAATATGAGTACAATACGTGTACAATACGTACATTGCAATTTTATTGTCAGAAATAGTTGATTTTATTGTACAACACGTTTTGTGACTCTACCTACGTTTGAATTTGCCGCGCGTATCAAGCAACATGGCGGCGCTCACTGTTCGTGCAAGATATCTCAGTTAACATTGGTTAGACAAGAATTATTTCGATGTTATCAATAATTTTAGTGTCTAAACTTTGGTAGGATATGTTTATACAGATGTTACAATGATTATTACAGCGAAAATACTGCTAAAATACAATAAAATAACTATTTAACTTGCTTTTTAGAATCTTACGAGCACCACGAGACGCAAACAATATGGCGGACATTGAAAACTGCGATGTTAATGGCGATAATTTTTATGTTATCAATAATTTTAGTGTCTAAATTTTATTGGAACATCTTTTACAAATATCTTAACAATTTTTACAGTAAAAATAACGTTAATAATCGGTGAAATAACTGCTTAACCTACATTTTACGAATTTTCGAGCGCCACGAAAGAAAAGTAACATGGCTGAAATGAAATACTACATTCCTTGCAAGAATTTTGAATTGTTACAAGTTTATTAATAATGCAATTGTTCAAACCTTGATATACCATCTTGCATAAAATATTCTAACAATTTTTACATTAAAAATAACGTTAATAATCTATGAAATAACTACTTAACCTACATTTTACGAATTTTCGGGCGCCACGAAAGAAAAACAACATGGCTGAAACGAAATACTACATTACTTGCAAGAATTTTGAATTGTTACAAGTTTACTAATAATGCAATTGTTCAAACCTTGATATACCATCTTGCATAAAATATTCTAACAATTTTTACATTAAAAATAACGTTAATAATCTATGAAATAACTACTTAACCTACATTTTACGAATTTTCGGGCGCCACGAAAGAAAAACAACATGGCTGAAACGAAATACTACATTACTTGCAAGAATTTTGAATTGTTACAAGTTTACTAATAATGCAATTGTTCAAACCTTGATATACCATCTTGCATAAAATATTCTAACAATTTTTACATTAAAAATAACGTTAATAATCTATGAAATAACTACTTAACCTACATTTTACGAATTTTCGGGCGCCACGAAAGAAAAACAACATGGCTGAAACGAAATACTACATTACTTGCAAGAATTTTGAATTGTTACAAGTTTACTAATAATGCAATTGTTCAAACCTTGATATACCATCTTGCATAAAATATTCTAACAATTTTTACATTAAAAATAACGTTAATAATCTATGAAATAACTACTTAACCTACATTTTACGAATTTTCGGGCGCCACGAAAGAAAAACAACATGGCTGAAACGAAATACTACATTACTTGCAAGAATTTTGAATTGTTACAAGTTTACTAATAATGCAATTGTTCAAACCTTGATATACCATCTTGCATAAAATATTCTAACAATTTTTACATTAAAAATAACGTTAATAATCTATGAAATAACTACTTAACCTACATTTTACGAATTTTCGGGCGCCACGAAAGAAAAACAACATGGCTGAAACGAAATACTACATTACTTGCAAGAATTTTGAATTGTTACAAGTTTACTAATAATGCAATTGTTCAAACCTTGATATACCATCTTGCATAAAATATTCTAACAATTTTTACATTAAAAATAACGTTAATAATCTATGAAATAACTACTTAACCTACATTTTACGAATTTTCGGGCGCCACGAAAGAAAAACAACATGGCTGAAACGAAATACTACATTACTTGCAAGAATTTTGAATTGTTACAAGTTTACTAATAATGCAATTGTTCAAACCTTGATATACCATCTTGCATAAAATATTCTAACAATTTTTACATTAAAAATAACGTTAATAATCTATGAAATAACTACTTAACCTACATTTTACGAATTTTCGGGCGCCACGAAAGAAAAACAACATGGCTGAAACGAAATACTACATTACTTGCAAGAATTTTGAATTGTTACAAGTTTACTAATAATGCAATTGTTCAAACCTTGATATACCATCTTGCATAAAATATTCTAACAATTTTTACATTAAAAATAACGTTAATAATCTATGAAATAACTACTTAACCTACATTTTACGAATTTTCGGGCGCCACGAAAGAAAAACAACATGGCTGAAACGAAATACTACATTACTTGTAACAATTTTGATTTGTTACAAGTTTATTAATAATGCAATTGTTTAAACCTTGACATACTATCTTGCACAAGCTATTATAACAATTTTTACACTAAAAATACCACTAACGACCTACATTATAACTACTTAACCTCCAACAGCCACAAAGCGGAAACACGTCCGAAATTAAAAATGGCGATCGAATGTATATTTCATGAAACTTTTCGCTTCCCAAACGGTTCGCATTCGTCTTCAAAGGAACAATTGAAAAGAAATTTTTCTCCAGAGATACCTCGCGAGTGAAGAATAGTCTCCAATTTAGTCTCAGCATCCGCAAGAACAAAGGTACTAAATTTTTTGTTTGATCCAATATAATCGGAATTAACTTCGTTGTGTATCCTGTTTTATCGCACCCTTTTCAATTCACCTCACCACGGAAGAATCATAGATTCAATTAAGCGAATTAGGTTAGGTGGATGTTCATTCGAGTGGCTTTCGGAAAGATAAAAAAGTTTTAATTGGGCTAAAAATTTTTTAATTATTCGCCGATTGTGCCATTATCGAAATTCAGGTGATTATGAAAATTCCTTTTTATTGGAAGATTGTGTTATTTATTTTTATTAATTTTTTAGCTATGTTACAGACGATTGACTCCGAAATTTTTAACGTACGGTTACATCACGGAATTTTTTAATAAAAGCAGTTGGAAAATAATTAAGTGGTAGAGGGAAATTTGCTCTTCCATTTGATTCCACGAATTCGGTTTATAAAATAGAGATTAAACTAGTTTTCGCTTGTAGTTGAAACACTGTTAAAAATGAACTCGCATGGAAGTATTAACAGAACACAGAGTTATTACATTTTTTTAAGGCTAATCTTGTATGGAATAATAAAAAACTTTGTACAAGCTTCTGAAGAGGTTTTGCTGCTAATTAAAAGTTCATACTATTGTATTACAAATTTCAAGTGTATCAAATTTTAATTGAAGTTTTGATGTCTTAACTTGATGTAAAATCCTGCTTTTCGCTTTAAAATGATTTGGTACTTGGTACTCATAACCTCAAAACTGTTCCTCGAAGGTTTTTCATAATTACTAGAAAATTTCACAGGAAAAAAGTTTAGAGTGACTTTATCGAGTGACTTCAGACACTAAATACTGGAAGCGTTCTTCAGAAAAGATCCTTGTAAAACCTTACTAAATGCTTCACTTATCTTAAAACGTCAACCATTCTGTTTAAAAACAATATAGACCACTAAAATAGCAAACAAGCACAGTATTCAAGGACCATAAATCTATCGCGAATTACCTTAACCTCACTTTCCTGCTCGTGAAATATGAAAAACAAAATGGCTTCTAACCTCTGCTTTCAGAGAGGCTATTCTAAGAGTTCGTTATGGGAAATCGAAGAAACGAAAACATTGGGAAGTGTGCTTTACTTACATAAAACTTCGATCGTGGTTGACTCTTTCATGGGTTTCAGATCCTCGGAACGCGTGACCGAGTTTTCGGCGTAACACTTGAACGTTCTTCCATTGTCGTATTCTGTGGCCGTAAAGGCTAGGTAACTTATGGTTTCTGACGTGCCGTCCTCCTGTGAACAAACGTCAAGTACACATTAAATCGTATATTGTAAAATTTATAATAATAAACGAATATCAATAATTGATGAATGAACACTGATCTGAATTAACGCTAGGATTACGAAGACCATGTTCTAAAGAAGACATGAAATATGAAAATTATAAATGTGGCAGTTTGATAATTTGATAACTTGATAATTACAACCTAATCTAGACGCCAACCTACCTGGACGCTAACCTAACCTAGATGTTAACCAACCTACCTGGACGTTAACCTAACCTAGATGGATGCCAAAAGCTTATAGTCTACCAGGTGCCAGAATGAGTGCATTTCAAACTTCGAGCTACCGTAAACATACAGGTGGAACAAGAGACGCAGAGATTTTAAAGTCCAAACGATTAAACCTGTCCGAAACTATCGAAAACGATACCGAACACGATTATCGTTGATTTCACGACGACCGACGTCGATGACGACCAAGTATTGTCGTCGACGATGAGTTATAGAGCTTCAACGTGCTTCCAGTCGATCTATGTGTGAAAAATTATCGAAACGATACCAAACGGTTTTTTATCGATTCGACGATCGACGTCGACGGGTTCCTGTCGCCGCCAAAATCTATACGGCAAATTTAGGCTGTCTCACGAGTCTACCCTCGAAATTTCAAGTCGGAGGACGCAAAATG